ATTGCAGCATTATTTACCATAGTTAAGATATGGAACCAATGCAGATGCCTCTCAGTATATATGAATGGATCAAGAAAATGTGGTATATATACACAATGGAATTCTATGTCTCCATCAGAAAGAATGACATTGCCCCATTTGTTAGGAAATGGAAAGACTTGGAAAAAATTATATTAAGTGAAGTAAGCCAGGCCCAAAGAAACATAGGTCCCATGGTTTTTCTTATTTGCAATAAGTAGTATATGTCTGAGACAAGCAGAAAAGGTCAGATAAGTTGATGTTAGGTGAAATGAACCCCAAGATAAGTATTCAAATGTTTTTTTCTTTCAAGCAATTGCTTCTAACATATTTATAAGATGATTTCTTTGTTGCTTTGTATGTCCCTCCTCCACGGTATAACCCCTGTTTTCACTGTATCTGACGTTGGTATAATTTGTGGAGGGGAAGGGCAAAAACGAATTGTTTAACTAGGGATACAGGTGGACCCATTGCAACAATGAGATGTACAAGATGTTATGTCAAAAACCTAACTTTACAACTTTGGTGTGGGGGTGAGTAGGGGGCGGGGCAGGAGAAGGCAGGGTGGGGAGGAGATGGGAAGGGATGGGAAGGGGAAATAAAGGAGGAGGCTACAATGCTTGATAAGAAAGGTACTCATTACCTTGATCATGTAATTGTAACCCCTCTGTTCAGTATTTTTACAATAAAAAAAAGAAAAAAAAAGAAAAAAGTTTTTTCTCGTCTGGTATTGGTATCACTGTACTATCAGTGAGTAAAGCTGTTTTTTTTTTTTTTTTCTGTCTTCTTGAAAACCTGTATCTGTGGCTGGGCTTACATCTCAGTAGTTGAGAACTGGCATAGCCCACATGAGTCCTTGGGTTCAATCCCCAGCATTGCAAAACACACACACACACGCACACACACACACACACACACATACACACACACACACACACACACACACACACACAGCCCAGGTCTTGTTCCTTGACAAATGAAGGCTTTTATGTTTGGAAAACCCTTTTAGTTTCTGTCTGAGTTATATACTAATTCTCATGTCTATTCCTTCACTAACATGGCTTGCTCTATAAAGAAAAATTTCTCATTGAATTAAAGCACTTCATTTGGGATTGAATAAAGCTAACCCTCTGGTAATAATTTTAACTATTTTCAGTTTTAGATTATAGCAGAGTAAAAAACCTCTCTCAATCTGTGTGGTTTTATTCTGTCATAGCTAGTACAATTGATCCTTTATCACAAGTAGGAAGAAAAAGACCATTTAATTTGGTAAAAATCTGCATATTCAAGTAAAGATAATAATCATTCATCAAAGAACCCAGTACAATTTGAGAACAAAAATATCATTGCAAAGGTTCTTATCAATCATTTATCTGTTTCAGAAATATAGAAATATATCTAATAATAATCTTTTATGACTTGTAACACTTAGGGCTTATGTCAAGGTATAGTCTATCTGAAATTATTTTGTCAATTGCAGCTAATAATTTTAGTAGTATTAGCTAAAAGTGTAACCTCCCCCCACCACATCCTACTCTAGGGCTGAAGTGGAGAGAACAAGGACTTGGATTCTATGCAGTGTGGAGTCAGTACACACAGAGCAGGAAAGAACTCTGAATCTGGGCGATGCTGCCATGTACTGCAGCAGTTGTGGTAAGTGAAGGATGCATGCATATCAGTGGAATTTTCAAGTGCCCCCATGCACAGACAGTAAATGGACAGTGAGTGAAATTGATGCTATTATCTAGACAAGAGCTGATCCTAAGCAGGCTAAAGAAATTGAATGTGACAAAGATGTCTAGTTAACCTTTTAGTAATGTGCTAGACAATATCAAGAACACTAGCTAAACCAGAGTGGGGACAAATATTTGTCTGATCATCTGTTTGGAGTTGTCTGTTAGAAACTTTGAAAGACACTGTGCAATGCTTAGGCTGAAAGAGCTTGAGAGCTTTGACATGAAGGTGATAAGTGGAAAACCAATAAGTCAGTGTTGTTATTTTTGGTGGTGGTGGTGGTAGTGGTGGTGGTGGTTGTAGGGCTTGAAAGCCCAGGCACTGTCCCTGAGTATTTTTGCTAGCGTTCTACCCCTTTGAGCCACAGCACCTCTTCTGGTTTTCTGGTGGTTAGTTGGAGATAAAAGGGCTCACAGACTTCCCTCCCCCGGATAGCTTTGAACAAAGATCCTCAGATCTCAGCCTTCTGAGTAGCTAAGATTACCGGCATGAGCCACCAGCACCCTAGCATAAGTCAGTTTTGATACATCATCCAGATACAAAGATGCAATGAGAGATCTATGGTTCAATTAAACAAATTTTGAGTAAGTATTACCTTTGTAATACAGCTAACAGCTGTTGAAAGTGATTCATTAAGGTTATCAGACTAAAGTGTTTATGTTATTTTCTGGAGATCCAACATTATTCTATTTCTTTCATAATGCAAATGTCTCCATCATATAATATAATTCAGCAGTGATAAATTGAGTGAATAGAAAAGAGAAAAAATGTAATCAATATTCTAGATCATAAATAAATGTGGGACATATAACTGAGAAAAGAATAAGCAAATAGGGAACAAACAGATAAGTTTCAGAAAGTGACAGTATTATGGTTTAAGATTTAAGTAGACAACCTTTTCTTTGAAAAAAAAAAGACTAATTTTGCATCAACCAATACAAACAGATCTCAAAATATGTGACCAAGCTTCTGGTGTTTCATCAAAATTGCTGGAACATTAAACATTGTAGAAATGATTGACCAAAAACCTAAGTGCTTTGTGCATTTATTTTCTGTCTTTAGTTATATGGGAAATTGCTGAAGTAATAAAATTGATACTTGAAATGTTACACTGAACTCCAACTCTAGATGAAGTGAAAGTCAACGTATAAATTATTCTAGGATGAAACAAGATGCAGACAGTCCAGGAGAAAATCTCAACCATGAGCTTCTTCACAAAGGCTTGCAGATATTCTGTGGTTGCTTCTCAAAGGAAATATGTACTCCATGGTAAAACAGCAGGATTGAGGTGCTGTCTGGACCCATAGTATTTGCACTTTACCTCATTTAAATGTGCTGCTAGTTAAAACACAGCCATTTCCTGTAGTGATTTCTTAGTGATTCCTAAAGGTCACCAAGAAAAAGTCAGAAGTTCTGTGCTTGTCATGGCAAGGTCTGATTAGAAATCACAGGAGCCCAAGAAGGATAAGTGTAGAGATCGAACATAGGTGCAATCCAAGTGAACATGCCAAGCATCACTACAGCAACACCCAAAATATTAACACCAAGTCCAGCTTTAACCTTGAACAAGAAAGAGCATAAATGTCAGTCTCCTGCAGAGAAAACACACAGGGGAATAAGAATACTGCTAAGATGTAGATACTTTTAGTCATGCAAGTAATACATGTATTTTGTAAGCATTGCCTAATGGCACATAAAAAAATACTGCTAAGAAAGCAACTTGTGAATTCATATGGGTCCCAAATGATTAGTACAGATGGTCATGATCCATATCTTAAGAGAATTTGTACTTAAGTAAATATTTCTTAGTTTAAAAAATTATTTTAGTTTAGTATTTTGTTGGAAAGGGATTTTAGAGAGGAAAATACTTCCATTATTATAATTGAAGAGAGAGAAAAATAAACTCTTAAAATCCCTCCTAGCATGGTAAATCAGAACTTAAGTTTTGGGTTTTTTTATTTCAATGGCCAGGTTTCAGGGCCATAGAGTAACGACTTGTGCACATTCACTACTAAACATTATTCTCAGTTTTTTTACAAATGTTCTGTTCTTGAACTTTTGTGATGTCACCTCTATTCTTTTTTCTTAGTGTTTCCATTTTCTAGATCTTTAATAATGTATCTCATGTCTACTAATTGATGCCTATACATCTTAATAGGGCTTACCAACTTCTGCTCTTGATCTTTTTTCTTCTGCAATAAAGGGTTTGAGCTCAGGATCCTGGGCTTACAAGAAAAGTACTCTACCATTTGAGCCAAACTCCAAACATTCCACCTACCAACCCCCACCTTCTTGTTTTCTCAATAGGATCTCACATTAATGCTCAAACCACTGGGAATCATGAATAGCCTACTTACTCTTTCCACATAGCTAGGATGAAAGATTTGTACCATTACGATAAGCTTTTATTGATTGAGATAACTCATGAAGATTTTGCCTAGTCTGGCTTTGAACCATGATCCTCCCATCTCTGCCTCTAAAGTAGCTGGATTTCAGGTATGAGCTGGCCTTTATTTTTGTTGTTGTTGGTAGTGGTAGTAGAGTTTTACTGGACCACAGTCATACCCAGTTGTTTACATATTGTGTTTGGCTGCTCTGATGCTATACTAGTATTTGTGACAGAGACCATATGTTAACTATCTGGTCTTTATAAAAAATGTTTGTTGAAAAATGCTGAAATAAGGATACAGGTTGACCCACTGTACCAATGAGATGTACAAGACACTATGTTGAAAACGAACTTTACAACTTGTGGGAGTGGTTGGGGGGAAGGGAGGAGTTGGGGAAGTAGGAAAGGGATGATAGGGGAAAAACAAAGGAGGTAACAATGCTCGATAGGAAATGTACTCATTACCGGTAACCCCCTCTGTACAGTATTTTTACAATTAAAAACATAAAAATGGCCGGGCGCTGGTGGCTCACGCCTGTAATCCTAGCTACTCAGGAGGCTGAGATCTGAGGATCGCGGTTCAAAGCCAGCTGGGGCAGGAAAGACCGAGAGACTCCTATCTCCAATAAACCACCAGAAAACCGGAAGTGGCGCTGTAGCTCAAGTGGTAGAGCGCTCGCCTTGAGCTGAAGAGCTGAGGGACAGCGCCCAGGCCCAGAGTTCAAGCCCCACGACCGACAAAAAAAAAAGTTCGTTGACCCTTCTGTTCTTCACTTTAAAACATGGAGCCCCAAATCAAAATGGGGGATACTTAGCAATGATTATAAGCATTGGCTCATTTCTCTGTCCACACAGCTACTGGTTTATTCGAGAGCCTGGTTTTTATTCAATTTAATGCTTACATAGGACATTGCACACATTGTATTAAGCACATTTAGTTTGTGGAAACATAGGGCAGGATTAGGCATAAAAACACATACAGAATTATGATGTAGATATTCGGGAACAGATATCTAGGTGGAAAGATGGAACCTGAACTTATCTTGGGACTCTCTCTACAGAAATCTTATTAATTCACTTTGATTATGCTAGGATTTGGGTTGGCTTTGAAACTGGGGATGAAGGTTGCACTAATTCCAAATAATCTCAGATTAGCTCTTCACTATCACTACTTTAACATTTGGCAAAAATGTGCATGTTTTGTCTCTTCTATTTTCTGTTATTACTTGCTGAAGTGTCTAGGTGCGGGTATAAGAATCAGGACAGGAAAAGATGGCTTTTCATCAGTCAGGCACTGAGCCCAGTGTCTTATTCGGAGCAAATGTTGCTTCTTATATATTTGTGATAGGAAACCACAGTGCAGTTTTGATTCCTCGATTCATTAGCTCTGTTTCTTTTTTGTTGTTGTTTTTGGTTTTTTTTCCTGAGTCAGGGTCGATCCTGACATGGTAGGCCTTAACATGGTAAGTTTAATTTGTTGCATTGAGCCATTCTATGTTCTTCTTTTCCCAGACTGTTGCTCATGCAGCAACACCACTGAATTTGTAGTTATAAATTCGAATGGCATCTTCACTTCTGGCTACTAGTCTTAAAAAGAGAATTCTATGACCAGTCATGCACATTACCTTCACAAGCAGAACTCACACCATGCTTCCCTAGCTGGTGATTATGGTATAAAAATACAACTTATTCAAGACATCTCATATGAAAAAAATGTGCATTGGATCTGATAGACTCTCTTAGCTAACTCACCATGTCAATGACTCTCAGATGGCCGTAGGAAAATACAATAGCATTTGGTGGATTTGCTACTGGCAGAAGGAATGCAAAGGAAGTACACAGGGTGGAAGGCAGTAAAATCTGAAGAGGATTCACATGAATGGCTTCAGCCTATCATAAAAGATAAAAAGAAAAGTGCAGTCTAATTTTACAGTAGGCATCACACATCAAAATGAACAATTTTAGTATAAACTTTCCAAGAAGACAGTTGCAACCTAATGATCTCAAATTTTATGCATTAAATGATGTTATAAGTTAAAGATTATTTTTTAGAAAGTATCTCCTCTTACAGTTTCTGTTTAAATGGTTAATTTTGCCTAATTAAACTTTACCATGCCTAATTAAACTTTACCATCCCATTCATTTAGAAAATAAAATATCATTTAGTATAAAAACTATATTCTCTTATTTATTATTTATCTAGTGCTTCCCACAGTGCTACTTATATGTATAGGCATATTTTATATATGGTAAGCATAACATATTCATATATTTATATATGTGTGTATCTATATGTGTATATATATGTATATATAGTTATAGCAACATAACGAGATGGCTACTACAAGACCAAACAGCAGAAGAGGAAATGGAGGCCCAGAGAGGCTAAAGGAATTTGCCCATACATATAGAGTGAGCAAGAGACTGTAGGTAAGGTCTCAGGTCCTTGTATCTGTAGACATCTAATTATTCTACCAACCTTAGTGCTTCAAAGACAAATGAAACTTAAAATTTACTTAGAGATCATTACAGAAGAGTTGTTACCAATTTTACTTTGTCACATAATTTATAACTTCCATCTTGAAAAAAATACAGAGGAAAATTTCTAAATGGTAGATTACCAACAACTGCTCACAAATAAGCAGTCTTACATTTCCTTTTCTGTTTTGAACAGCAGTTCAGGAAACTTAACACAAATCCTAGTGTCAGTAGTAACACAATTCCAGAACTGGAATTCCTCTTCTTTTTATTTTATTTTCTTGTAAAGATGCTGTACAGAGAAGTGACAGTTACATCAGTAAGGTAATAAGTACATTTCTTGTTGAGTATTGTTACCTCCTCCTTTGTTTTTCTTTTTTTAAATGACATTCCTGATAAATTTAAAGTTCTTTCGTTTCATCAAACTAATAGCAATAAGAAAAAATATTTTACTTACACATAATTTTTGTAATTGTTACTGAGGTGGGGAAAAAGGAAGAGAGTCTTTCTTTCCAGGCAAACCTAATTCTTGTCTTTTTCTTTAAAAATTTCCCTGGGCAGTAGAAAGCTGTGTCTAAGATATTTAAGCCTCAGGAGTAAAAAATAGAATTTCACTCATCTGCAAATTACTTATATGAAACACTTCTCAGAAATTTAGAAACAATGTTCTGGAGGGAGAAATGTTAGTGCTAGAGATTTAAGTACTAAATTTTCCAGGAAATACTGAGTTCCAAGTCAAAGCTGGAATGGATCTAGAAAAACCCACTCATTCATTTGCATATGACAAACAACCAGATCTGAGTGAAGATAAATAGTTTATTGAAAATCATGCTACTTGGAGAAGTCTAACAGTTTTTTTGTATCTCAAGGTCACCTAAAAGGAACACTAATACAAATAAAGGCCAATCTGCAAGTTACCTAGAAATTTAGACCAAAAGAAAGTTTACATCATTTGTTGGATGAGAAGAACATAAATGGAACACATGAGATACTCACCAATGGAGATAAGATAGGGAGAAGGATGGTAATGGTAGCTGGATTGCTGGCTACCTCTGTTAAAGATGTGACAATCAAAGAAGATATCAGAATGATTAGCCATACAGGTAATGAACCTAGAGGAGATAGTTTATTTCCTATCCACTGAGACAGTCCTGATACCTAAAAAACAAATTTGTGATATTTATTATTCAGTAATAATTCATTTTATTCAGAATTTTTTTTTTTTTTTTGGCGGTCATGCGGCTTGAACTCTGGGCCTGGGCGCTGTCCCTCAGCTCCTCAGCTCAAGGCAAGTGCTCTATCACTTGAGCTACAGCGCCACTTCTGGTTTTCTGATGGTTTATTGGAGATAGGAGTCTCACGGTCTCTCCTGCCCGGGCTGGCTTTGAACCACGATCCTCAGATCTCAGCCTCCTGAGTAGCTAGGATTACAGGTGTGAGCCACCAGCTCCTGGCTTTTTTTATTCAGAATTTTAACACATTGCAAAAAATTGTTTCCTCTGAGAACTCAAGAAGTATAATTTCACATTTTCTTGATTGTGGAGGAACAATCAGTCTTATTTCAACACTACACTGTAAATGTGAGAATTTTCGGCTCCCCTTTGCTCAATTAAGCTCTAATTTTCTGTAATTAAATATATGTAGAGAGTCTAACTATTCACTCAGGACTGGAACCCTAAGAAAAGAGCAGTTCTTTCTCTTTATCTCATTACCACTCCTATGTCTGACTTGTGTTTTCCACTGGCACCCACTTTCAACCCTTATCGCTAACTTACACATTAAACCATTAATATAATTAACCTTCAAGGTAAGTTTCTAGTCAAGCATTTTTCCAACTTTACAAATTGAAACATTTGCTGATTTTCTGATATTTTGTGTGAGAATTTCATTTTCTTATATTTTCTGACCATGCCTACATTTTGCCCAAACTCATATATCAACCCTGCTGGTTATATCAATATTTAATGCCTAATGCCATGACTATGATTATTAGCTTTCTGTGATTATGTTTACTTTTCTTGTTTTACTTCTTTTTGTTTTCCCAGGAAATATTTGCTGCATTCTTTTGTATGCTCTATTTCCCAAGTGTCTACCACTAATTCATCACATTCTCTAGTAACTGGAGAACTCCCAAACACATAAGCAAACATCATGTAATTGGGTTTTTTATTTGTGTTCCTTCATGATGATGTCTGTTCTGGAATATCGCCTACCTATTCCATCTGAGACTGGATTCTCTTTACATCTACACAACTTTTATTCTGGGATCTCTATTCACTACTATGAATTCCCTTCTCCTCTATGCTCTGTGGTAGTCTTTTTTTTTTTTTTTATTTCTTCTCTAATTTCCTGCAAACCGGTCTGGTTACATGGAAGGTAAATTAAATCTTTGTATGCCTCAAACCCTTTTTATTTTCTTCCACTTCTGATTGATTGATTTAGGGCCTAAACTTAGGATATAGACACTGTCACTTAGCTTTTTTTCACTCAAGATTGGCACTCTTCCACTTGAGTCATAGTTCCATTTAACAGCTTTTTGGTGGTTAGCCGGAGCTAAGAATCTCACAAACTCTCCTACCAAGGCTGGCTTTGAACCAGGATCTTTAGATCTGAACCTGCTGAGTCACTTTCCATATTATTTTGATAGGTCAGCATTTGTAGAATTACAGATTTTCAATGATTTTCATGAGTCAACACAAGTGTCATTGACCTCTAACCTGTGGCTTCCAGCTGGGCTAATCAGCCTGGCTAATGACATGCTGATCTTTGATTCACTGTATGTACATAGTCCAAAACATTAACAAGTACAGGGAAGGGAAAAAATTTTTATGCAATGATTTCAATGAGCTATTGTATATGTGAATTTTTATGTTCACATCATTATGTTAAATGAAGTAAGTTAGGCTCATGTGTGAAAGGTAGATCTAAATTATAAGTATATATGAAAACATACAGGACCATATGCATATGTACACAATCAAACCAGCTAAATTTTGACATACACAGAGGAGGAATCCAGTAGTGTAACTCCTTTGAACAACAAGCTTACAGTTTAACAAAATGAATACCGGAAAACTAAAATGGGTCATTGGAAAAGGAGTTACAGGATGGGAGCAGACAAATGGAGAGAAGGGTGGACAAATACAGCCATCATACTCAATGTACATATATGAAAATGGAACCGGGTAGCTTGAGGGGCTGAGTGGAGTTGGGAGAGATTGGGGAGAATGATGGATGGAGTGATGTTGGTCAAGATGCTTTACTCATAAACTGACCTGTTGAGTTGAAAACCCTTTTCATAGCTACTTAATTCTAATAATAGCAATAAGAAAAAGTAATTACAATCAATGAACTTGCAGTTCAAAAGGCCAATTATCATAGATAGGGTTCCAGATGTAATTTATATTGTACATCATTTTGATTTATAATTTTGGCCATAAATAGGTGGATAATACCATTTAGGGCCCACTGACATATATTCATACTATACTTTAAGAGGAGGTTTATCTCTGACTAGATATGGAAAAGTTTGTACTCCATCTGGAGGCCACTGTGTCAAAATTCTCCAAGAAGTGTTGTGACTTTGGCTCCAGTAGCTCTCTCATAGTAGCATTTCGATGTTCATTTCTGAGAAATTCTTTGTACCATTGTTGGAAATGTCCCTCTTCTCTAGTTTTTTTCTCTTTCTATAATTTCTAGTACTTGACTGCTAGACATGGTTGATTAATGCTATACTTCTCTTATCACTCTCTTTTTTTTTTTTTTTTTGGGTCCAGTCGTGGGCCTGAACTCTGGGCCTGGGCGCTGTCCCTCAGCTCTTCAGCTCAAGGCTAGTGCTCTACCACTTGAGCCACAGCGCCACTTCCGGCTTTTTTTGTTTTGCTTATGTGGTGCTGAGGAATCGAACCCAGGGTCTCATGCATGCAAGGCAAGCGCTCTACCACTGAGCCACCTTCCCAGCCCTTATCACTCTCTTTTTAAACATTAACTTTCTTTTACATTTATGTCCTGGTGTTCATTTCTACTCCCATATTTCTAAAGTTCAGATGCTCTGTTGTATTCTTATGTTTTAGTTTCTTTTCTTTACTATTTTAACATCTCTTTGAAGCATCAGCAACAATTGATAAGTGTTCCTTGGTTCAGGTATTTTTCTTACTTTTTTGCCCTTTGTATTTATTCTCGCACACACACATATGTATAAACATCTATACATGCATATACATATACAGGTATATTTGAGATTGTATCAGAGGCTTTCCCAATTGTCTAAGGATCCTTGACTACCTATTATTTTATAAACAAGACTACAAAGTAGTTATTGGAAGCTCTTTGTGCCAGGCAAAGGAATGTACGGGACTGAGGCATGGTCTAAGAGCTAGTCATGGGCCAATCATGGTCCTCAAACTTATTGTCTCTTTTCTTCCAGGGAATAGAGAGAACATCTGCCTTGCTGGCTACTCAGATGTGGGGAAAGCATGTGAGAGGCTCACAACCTCTTGTATGCTCTCTAAACCACTCACAATATTCAGCTCTGGCTTTTACCCAGCTTTCAACATTGTCAGCTGCCTCCAAGTCCTGAACACTTGTAGGGTCTTCGTGTTGGCTCTTCCATTGTTTGGCATGCATATTTTTACCTTAGACTGTTTTTTCCTGCTTGTAAAAGTCACTCTCCAAATATCCTCTTTCCACCTTCTAAATTTTTCAACATCTCCTATTATTGACTGTCAGATAGGTTTTGTCATTATAAACCAACTTTTTTTGTTTTTCATTTTGATTTTTCCAGTTTAGTGGAGATCAAAGTAAACTGTTCACTCCGCCATGTTTACCTTAGCAGAAAGATTTTGGAGGGTATGTGAAAAGGAAAGAGGAGCAATTACTCACTGATTAGAATTGGATGTTGTCTACCAGCATATGAGAGACCAATCATGTCAAAGCAAGGGTATTTAAGGTAGAGGTCAATAAAGTAATGTGGTGAAGGCCGTATTATTTCTGTCTCACTGTTTTCTACTGGAATGGTTAGCTAGCCTACATATTTGTCAGGATAATCATGTGTTTTTCAGTATTGGGGTTTGAAATTAAGGTCTTGTGTTTTCTAGGCAGGTGCTTTACCACTTGCACCACATCTCCAATTCTGAAAATAATTCTCAAACAAAATTTTTACAAATTAAATTTCTGTGGATCTTTTAGAAAACTAGATGCGAGAGCCATTATTTTTTTTTTCCGGTTGTGGGGCCTGAACTCTGGGCCTGGGTACTGTCCCTCAGCTCTTCAGCTCAAGGCTAGCGCTCTACCACTTGAGCCACAGAGCCACTTCCAGCTTTTTTCTTTTTGCTTATATGGTGCTGAGGAATCGAACCCAGGGCCTCAGGCTTGCAAGGCAAGCGTTCTACCACTGAGCCACCTTCCCAGCCCCGAGAGCCATTATTTTGACATTCATGACTTCAGTCTTACCACTTAGTGGTGGGGTTTTTTCTGGGTATTCTTGCAGAAACCTAAATCTGATTGCTATGATTTTTAGTAGGAATTTAAACCTCCCTCCATGGTTTCCCTAATTCTTCTACCAACAGAGCCTGTTAGATCAACAGAATCCACACCTTTTCATTTCCTCAGATTTTGTTGTTCTACGGTCTGGTCTATGCTTTCAAAGCCACTGTGAATGTCTAGAATCCGGTCTAGACAGATATTCTGGGCTGGAGAGATGAGCAAAATTCACATCAATGTCAGACTCCTGATTCTGATTTCCTCACAGTTCAACTCAGCAGACATATAAATGGAAGTTATTTATCCTGAGAATTCAGATCTCATTACTGCTGAAATAGTAGAGAAGAAAAGTGCTACTGTCTTATATTTCTACCATTGCAGTTTGGTAGGTAATGAGGCAAGTCAAATCTAAACCCAAACAATTTTGTAAAAGGCTCTCAAACTTGAGATAATTTCTAAGGCTTACAGCCATTACTAAATCTTCTTGCTAAAATGCAAGTCTCTAAATATTATGTGGAAAATTGGCAATAAAGTTAGAAGCATAGTCTCCAAACTGGTCATCAACGAAAGTAGAAATAGTTATTTGTCTTAAGAAATGTAAAAATGTCACATCTTAGAAGCCAAAAGATTTGGCCCAATAACTCTATCCCCATTTCTTTCAATGTGAAAGTTGAGTAAGGTAATGGACTAGCCATAAGCTTTGAGTCATTTACAGAACAGTATGAAACCCAGAAATGAGTTGTTCTTAAGAATTGTAGGAGTAAGGGATTTTTGTAGAATTTTTGAAGATGATAGTTTTCTTTCAGCAATTTTGCAATAACTAGAGCTATTATAAAAGAGAAAGGCATCCCCAGACTACTACTATTTTACATCAACTGGACAGATAAGCCACAGACTAGACATCTATCTTTCTGTGGTAATTCTATTTTTCCTAAGATTGGACATAATACAAACTATTAGATAGGATTAGGTAAAAAATACTTCTTCTGGACTTTATTCAGTATGTATTAACTATATTTAAGTCTAATAATATTTCTCATTCCCCTTCTTTGACAAACACATGGACCATGATATATTGATATATCCAAGAACCATTCCTATTCATCATGAACTAAGGGAAAGGTATAAGCATTCCAATGAAAAATATGTTCCAATATAAGTCCCTATATTATTTGCATATAGGATTTTTTCTTACTAAACTAGTCTTTTAATGCTGTTTCATGGATTAACAGTTCCACAGGCACTGTTTCTTTTGACATGCTGGAATACCATAAAGTTATGATTATGCTTGCAGCCTGTGAAAATTCTTCAACTATGACCTCACCTCATCTGTGGGGTATCCTCAGTGCATGGCTACTGAACCTGAATTGTTTAAATGACAGAAAAAAAACTGAATAAGCTTAAAGCTAAACTCCCTTTATGTCTTCCTTTTGAACATCCTGGCTAATTGTTAAACATCTTACACACTGTGTATTACCTCACAGCCATCTGCTAGGGCAAACCCTCCACCAACAAGAATAGCTATATCCCAGGGCATGAATGACTGGAATTCTTTCCAAGTAATCAGTGGAGAGTAATCAAAAGCAACTGCAAAACAAAAGCTTTATGGTTAAAAATTGCTTAAAATATGACTTTTCATCAATGTCTATGTGTCTTGATCAGTGTCACCCCTTCCATCATTTTCCCCATCTCTCCCTCAGATACTATGTTTAAAGAAGGTATTTGATTTAATATGGCTTTTAAATAATTTTCACTTACCTTAGGAAGAATATTATATTATAAAGAAGAAAAATCTATAACTTGGGAAAAATATTTTAATGTTTTGAAATATATTCAGGTAACTTATAACCTTGATTAATAACATCATTCATGTCTTATTCTACTGTTCCTGCTATGAACAATACAGCACCATAGGCTATATTTTTCTCTATTACTCTTTTATTTCCTCAATAGCATTAGTGTTATTCACTAATATTTATTTAACATTTTCTTAATTTTTTCAGACATACGGGAAATTGGAATGCCAGGTTCAAATTAAAGAATTAAAATATTGTTGAGTATTACCATGCTCATGAAGCAATTATCATGAGGATTTTTTCCAAATATTTGGCTTACAACTGTGCCATTGACTTCTTCATAGGTAAGTTAATTCAGGAGCACATTACCTTAAATTAACATTTCTGTGTAATCGGCAGGCTTGTACATGGAGACATTAAAAGGTTAGTATTAGCTTTCTTTCCTATCTCCTTTCTCCAAATCCAAAATAAATTTGGCTTTCCTGATCATTGGAATTTTAAACTATCAATTTTCTTACCATATACCTGTAAGACCACATACCTTATCAAAATGCAAACCCCTCTGCACATGACATTTCTTTAAAATTTAAACTATTATGTTAAACATTTCTAAAAGAACATATACCAGGGGAAAACAAGTTAAAGAATTTGTGAATATCCATGAGCCAATGTGGCTCATGCCTGTAATCTTAGCTATTCAAGAAACTAAGATCTGGAGAATTGCTATTTGAAGCAAGCTCAGATAAAATGCCCATGAGATTCTACCTCCAAAATAACTAGAAAAAACAAACAAACAAACAAAAAACAGGATGCAGGTGGCTGAATGACAGAGCAAGAGGCTAGCAATGCAAAGTCCTGAGTTTAGACACCAGTACAGCATGTACAAAAAATGGAGGGAAGGGATTGTGGACAGGACTAAGGACCTTTCTGAGAGGAGATCCAGATATGGAAACCAAGGAAACCAATTTGTCCTCAATACTTGCCATATTTAGGGCTATAATCACAAGGGTTGCAATTTTTAGTCTCACAGAAATAAATGCTATATAATATCTCCTTAAAGCACATTAAGATATTCTAATAACCCCCTTTTCACTATATTTGATGTTTGTATAATTTGTGGAGGGGAAGGGACAAAAAATTGTTTAAATAGGATACGGGTGGACCCATTGCAACAATGAGATGTAGAAGACATTATGTCAAAAAATGAACTTTACAACTTTGGCAGGGGAGGAGGTTGGGTGGGGGGAGATGGGAGAGCAGGGATGGGAAGGGGAAACAAAGGAAGAGGCAACAATGCTTGATAAGAAATGTACTCATTTCCTTGTAACCCCTCTGTATGGTATTTTCACAATAAAAACATTAATAAAAATTTGAATTTGTCTATCAAAAATGGACAGAAACCATTTATTTCTATGTTATGCTATTCATGTATGATCATGTTCTGAAAATCTGACACGTGAGACATTTACTGATAGTGACTTGTGAAGTCAGGTGGGCCAACTTAATGTAGGACTCTTGGTTCCATCAAGCCAAACCAAATTGAACCCAGAAAAATTCCACAACCACACTAGTCCATAATAATCTGTTTGTCCCACATTGACCCTGCAAGAATCTACTTCCTGAATACATGCATAGATATTTCTGCTTAACACCTGTGTGTAGTGGGAAATGTACTCATGAGGTCAGTATGTTTTTTGTCTATGTGAAGCAAATAAATGAATGCTTCCCTGAATACCTTTTCTTTCAGTTGTGACCCTAGGTTATCTTTACGTGGAATTGATTTGCTTTTCTTCTGAGACTATGATGAAGCTATAAATGCACTTTCTCTTGAAATAGACATCCCTAGAGTAAGTCCTTAGCATCCAATGCTTTGGCATCACCTTAGAGCAGTCTCATCTACATTCTTGTTTTTATGTTAATTAGTAGTAAGATCAATTGTGTTTGTGGCAAGGAAATTGGGGTTGAAATAGGACAAATGCTGTTACTCACGGAAGTGTCATGATGCATAATGAAATCTACTCATTTCCACAAACACATGATCCTTCTGTGCTGGGGTTAGGCTGTGTATAAGCAGGGCATGCTAAGCCTGCTAAGTGCTAACTGAAACTGATGGGATTATATATGTATACATATAATGTTTTTCAGTCAAAATCAGAGTTACAAATGATACTCAACCTATTTCTCCTGTGGATGTAGTTTTAGTCAATCTCTTAGCTGGGATTAGAAAGAAAAGGAGTCCTATAATTAAGGCAACAGTTGAATCTGTAACAAAACCAGGATATCTGAAAAATAGCAACAACAACACAAATGTATATTAAAATAAACATTAAGAAATTACATAAGCTAAAATTGATTGACTATGCTAGTAACATTTAAATAACAGTGGTGATGTAGGTTCTACATTCTGGATAAACTGGACCCGAATCATCCATGGATTTACAACTGTTTACTTAAAGCCAGTCATCTCACACATTCTATTATGTTGATAAATTTCTCCATATTTTCAATATTGCATATGCAGATGCTGAGGTACCAGGCCAACAATGAACATTTCTCTTTTAGGACAATTTGTTACCCATTTTCCTCTTTTAATTATTTTTTTCAGTTTTATCAGCCAAAATTTCGATACTAAAATTGCTAGAGTAGGCAAAGCCCCCTATGATTGACTTATAACTTCCGTCTATTGAATTATGTCAAGACATCACTCTGCTAGAGTCCCCTCAAACTCTTCTCTACAGTTTGAATGGGAATTAATCTGCTTTCCATGATATAACACATACTTCTGCAGTTCTAGATCCTTGCCATATTGAAGAAAAGAATACATCCCATTTAATGCTTTAATTCTTCAACCAAGAATATTAACTATTGAAACAGATCATGAGATTCTCATAAGTGACTATTGTATAAATCAAAAGTGATTCAGGAACAGAGTTCTAAGAATCATCAGGCCAGTTTAGCAAAAAGACAAATTCCCAGTATCCTCAATTGTTAAGAAGGCTGGAGACCAGATATAAATGAAGCAGGCATAACTAATTAGACACAGGTTTTAGAAGTGCATTTTCATGGCCTGAAATATGTATACTGTAAGAATTATTTTCCTATCTTATAACTCAGTAATGTTTATATACTACAGAATCTTAACAGAATTTATTTGAAACTGAACAGTCAGGGAAATGCTTTTGTTTTCTCACTGTAGCAGTTTTTAAAGCTGTCTGTTTCTCTTAAATATTGTCTTATTCTCTTTTTTGTTTTAACAGAATTTATTCTACAGACCTGACCAATAGTTGTAATTGTATTGTCTCCTTATTCTTTTATTTTACTCATAATTTTTGGTTGAGGTTTTTATTTTTTTTTTACCCCTCCAAATTGGAGCAGGCATCATGTAACTGGATTTTGCTTTATATGAAAAGACATATTGAATTTCATCCAGGCTCAAACAGATGGAATGAAAACATTAGGTGGGAGCAATAAATCTTAATATATCATGCTAGATTTAGAAATGAAAATTGCCTAAAACCTGTACATGGCCCATGTAGTCTACAAAATAAATACCTTAGGTAAAATCAAGGCATAAATATGGAATAATTTATTTTCGAAAGACTTGAAACTATAATTGTTATCTTATTATGGCTTATTATTAGCTTATTCTGATTTTCAATTATCTAGGTGTTACTAGGTATTATGCTTAAATGCCATTTATTTGATTCGGGTTTGTCGATTTGATTTATATTTTCAAGTCCTATCTTCTTTAAAAGCCTTCATTATCTTTCATATTGTCTTCTCTAAGAATGATAGGTAACAGGAACACCTGTCTGTAGCAAATCCACTGTTTCCCTGCTGTAAACAAAACACCTCCCAAATTACATTATCCTCCCACAGGAATAAAAATTAGAAGCTGATTATGTTGAATTTCCTGTTGGGAGTTTTGCCTAGTTTTTATTAGCTAGTGTCTGATGCCATTTAATTCTTATTGCACTAGTATTTAGAGAAAGGCTTACACTATCTAGGATGGTAAGGGTCGAATTTTAAAAGTGAGGAAGTTATTTTTTACACTGGTTTATATTTTATTGTAAAAGAACAAAGAACCAATCTTTCATTAAACAATAACTTGCATTAAATAATCAGAGAATGCTTTTTGTTTTGACCTTTCAAAGTGAAAAGTTTTATTCCTAAGGGAAACAAAACATTTATGAAGCAAAAGCAATCTTCAAAACATGATTAATTTACAGCATCGCTTGACTTGTGTGGTCAACAGAAAATTAGTTTCAACTTTTGCATGTTTTGAAAAGTATTGGCTATGCCTGTAAAATCAGAATTCTCTAATTTAGGAAGGAAGGACTTTCTCTATTCATATGGCCAGAATATATAAGACTCAAAGAATTTTGCTTGATGTATTATATATTTTACTTTCAAATTTTGTAGATTCTTGCTGAGAGATGTAAGATAGAAAGTCCAAGTCAGAAATTTGCTGAATTTAGGAACTAGAGTACTTCCGTGAAAAATAAATTGAGAACACAAATCTCAAAACCAAATTATTTATATTGACACGTAGGATGGTCCTTAATTTAGAAACTGTGCTGCAATCTCGCCTCAATTCGCATGACTCAGTCATGACTGCTGGTATGCATGATGCCGAGAGATAAAATTAACTCAGATTGGTTTCCAACATTCGTTTTTTAAAATCAGTCTCATTACTTATTCAGGAATTCCTTATCTACAAAATGGAGGGTGTTGGGCTGAATCTGTCGTGAACTAGCATTAAACAATATATGCCAATGAAGAGAAAGAAGATATTGAATCCAGCACATAGTCCTCCATACAAGTAAAGAACTGGTTTTTAAAAAAACAATCCTGTGTGATTTTATGCCAGATTTATTAAGAGGTATCAAGTGGCATTTAACACGCAGTACATGTTTAATTGTCACTTTCCCAGGGAAAAGAGCAGTAATCCATAGTTGCTACTATTGTCTCCATTCTATAGGTGAATTAAGGGAGACTTCAGTGACTTGCTCAAATCAAGCTGAAGAGCCAGGAATGGAACTCAAACAAGGTGTTGTCCCACCACCGCTTCTCCTAACCATATAGCTTATAGCCTTTCTCCTCATTACATTTCTAATTTGCAAGGATGGGGACAACCTTTTCTAGGAGTCCACGTGTTTAGTTACAGAGTAAAATGCCTAATCCCTTCTGTAGTGTTACCTCAGACTGCATTCCTTAAAAATCACTCTTCCCTGAAAAGATTAGCCATACAATCTTTTCAAAAGAAATGACGAATGGAATTTCATACAAATTTTTCAAAGCTACAGGAACCTGTGAGAAGTAGAGTTTAAAACAGGCAGTTATCAAGCATTGTTAAGTCATGCTTACTGTGCAAAAAGTTCAGACCAACCGGCAATAAACCCTGGATTTCGACTGAACCATAGCAGAGCCATTATGAAGAAGAGGACCAAGGTTACAATTTCTTGATACCTGTGGGGAAAAAATCCAGCACTGTCATTCCTTATTGTTCCAGTCAGAAGATTTATGAAAATTCTCTAAGCTATTATAAAGCATCACCTTAACAAAGCAGTCAACTCTGTGAAAATAGAATGTGTAGAGACTCTCAACTTCTTGTCATTCTGCCTGACAAATTTTAGTTCTAGACAGTAGCTGTATTTTGACATGTCAAGTTATATTCACAACACTTGGCAAATCTAGGGCCCTAATCAAATATTACAAGTACTTCGCAGATGAATATGTTCTAATTTGCCTTCAATTACTTGCAGCATATTTTTTCCTTTCCTCCCCCACTCCCCCACATTTCCCTCTCCCTCTCCTTTCTCTTCTCCATCCCTCCCCTGATTCCCCCCACCCCCTTACCTCATTGGTCCAAGTTTTTCGTATTCTTGCTTAATCACATCAGCACAGGCTTTTTCTTTGAATGTTTTGGTCTTGCCACATTTAAACATCTCCTTAAAACTTAAAAAAAAGGGTCTCTTAGATAAAATTTTGTTTCACCACTCCTCTCCTTTATGAGACACATTTGTGAAAACTTTATGAAGCCTTCCGCTCCCTGGTAATATATCAATATACTTTGCACATATCTCCTTTCTCTTTGAACCCCTTTTTCCAATTTTCTTTTTTATCTGGTTTTCTTACTTTACAATGCTTGATTTCTGTTGCCTGCTTTCTAATATATCCAACCATCTCTTTCTATACCCAAGTTTCCTTTTTATTTTGTACTTCTGGAATGTTGACATGTGCCTACTTTATCACCTCATTATATACTTGATTATTATATTTTAAAATATATGCATTATACATTTTAGTTTTTAATTGCTACACACGTACAAGTTTATCCCAGTAATTAGTAGATGGAGGATAGTGAGAGTGGCTATATTATGAATATTTCCTTTGACCCAAGATCTCTTAACACTGGCATGCACAGGAAATATTGGCTCACCAACTTAATAGTACCTTTGACAGATCTTTGAGATAATTGGTGTCAGAACTATCTATTTTTTACAAAGGTGTCAAACATGAGTTTATCCTTGCATAAGAAAGTCACATATACTGATCCTAACCAGAGTCCTCCCTAGGCTTGTTCTCAGAAGCAAACAAACATGATTACATTTTTCCTATAAGTTTCTGCACCAACTCCCAATTAGCCCCCAATAAACTATCTAGTTTCTTTCCAGTAATAACTACCATTCTTTACTGTTTTAGCTGCTTGTTGTGATGACTTCTTTTTGTTACTAAATTTTCTGTCTTGATACCAAGTTCTTCAAGCCTTGAACAGTTTTTGTGGAGTACTGTTCTAGATGCAACAATTCCTCCCGAGAAAAACAAATGATGGAAGCACATAGGTTGGACTAGTTCTTGAGATGTAGCTTGGCCAGTTTATATTATGTGTAGGTATAAACATAGGGATGTTTTCTTCTATAAAACTGATGATTAAGCATGCATATTTAGGAGAGAGTAAGTAGGAAGACTGGGGTGGCTAGAAGGTGATTATATGAAGACACATTTTATGCCTTATTTTCATTTTCATTTTCCCTCTAACTCTGCTACAGAAGCTTGTTTGTACTGTGATTCCCTTGGAAGAAGCAGAAGTTTTAAAATTCTTCAGCTATCCACCTTATATATTCATATTCTCACAGTCATGTATACCCCCAACCACTAAACATAATTAAATATTGCAATTGTGATCAATGATGAAATAAATCAATTTTACACTCTCAATTACTGATAAGGGCCAGTCTCCAATTTTTATCTATCACAACGTAACTACCACTCTATGAAACTAGTGCATGGGCCTCCTTGAGAAATGTATAGCTAAAGAAAAAGAGAAGATTCTTAGAAACTGTTTTGCTACCCAGTCCACACGATGGTATGCCTTGTTACTAAATAGTTAAGTCAACCAATTGTCTTTGTTGCAACTGAAGGTGAATGCCTTCACAAAGGAAGGAAGAAGCTTATGACAATGGATCTGCCTCTCTATTTAAACAAGTTCAGAGGCAATGATGGATGAGCTTCTCTCCCCAACTATGCTGGGGTCATTTATAAGGGATGAATTCACTGTGTAACAGCCAGTGAACTACTCAAAATGGATATTTGCCTGCCAGGGGAGTGGCTGATTCTTTGTCAGTCTAAAACCTCTTGAGGTGAACATCCTGGCAGGCTGAAAGGGACACTGAAAAATTAGCAGGGCCAGAAGCAGCGCAGTGTCTAACCAGTAGAGGACAGTAAGGAAGGATATTTAGCCATGTCACTGGTCATTCTTTATGGACTTGGCCCCAAATCTACATTTCACAGGGGGTTGGGATATTTTTACCCCCAAAGAGAACATATGTGAATGTATTTCTCCTATATCATCTCCTTTGTAAGTACCAGGCTCTTTAAAAAATAATAGCAATGATTGTGTGTCTCTCTGTGTGTGTTGTGTATATATTTACTTATTTAAAGCTATTCTATGTAGCAATAGAGAATAAAACAACTGTGGACCAGGAACTAAATACTTTCTATATTGACCTGAGATTCTGGGATTTGCTCCTCTTTATCCAGCATTGCGATCTGATGGAAGAAGCCCCCACAAGCTTGGATTTCCTGGGAGGGGCATTGAGGATGCAGCTGGCCTTGCCTTCCTGCTGGCCACCTGCCGAAGTGAGTGACATTCCGCACATTTGCTCCAGCAGGAGAACTGTCTCATGCTGCTCCCGCAATCTGGATAGAATGTTTTATTTTTTATTTTGAAATATCTGAGCCATCTTACCACTAATAACACAATTGGGTAGTTCTGGACACTGATCAGGAAGAAGGGAAGAAGAAGGGAGAAGAGAGTATTGGTTCTTGGGTTATCAGAATTGGAAAATGAGTTCACAGCCAGGGGACGCACACCCTGCCATAGTGTTTTGCTTTTCAAAAGAAGAACAAATAGCTGACTTCAGTCTAGCTGGTTTGGTGAATAATACTCTTGTTTGATTTGTAGGTCCTTGATATTGGTTCATTAAAATGCTGTAAAAATGACTTTACATTGTCTTTTTTTTAGGGAGGGAAAAATTCCCTAAGGCTTGCTATAAAGCTATTTTGACTTTATTTGTGGAATATTATTGAATAAATGGACAATAACAGGCTGTGTTGTAGGTTTTGTGGGGGAGTCCTTCATGATTTTCAGGGCTGGCTGTTAACTCATGTACCTCATTGGTGCTCATGAGCTGCCAGTTTGAAACCTAGACAAAGCACTATGTTCAAATTATTTTCAAGTGCATTATTTGACATTTCAGTGACCTCATTAGATCCTTGTGGATCAGTTTCTTACTTTGACTCCTGTTTGTTCAACTTGGATCCCTTTAGCTTGGCAGTGCTCTTACTGATGAGGGATTTGTTTTGTTTTTTACTGCTTTACTCTGGAAGACATTCTGGCCTGAGAGAAGCCACACTATTGTCCCTGGCCTCCAAATTCTTCTTCCCCTTCTTTTTGTTTTAATGCCACTTTTCCTAGCATGTATTAGTTAACCATGCATGCAATGTACCCTACTAAACACTTGCTATCTGTTTCCCTCATCCCATTGCCCTGTTCTTAAAACAATTTCAAAAATGTTTCAGTGTTCTATATTTATTACGTGTGTGTGAAGTATTTAATTCAATATATCCTTTCACAGAGAATATTCTCAGATCTTTATTTTACTTCTTGTAAAAGATGGTAGCAATTTTGATACTAGCAGAAAGCAGGAAGCCCAGCATGTTACAGTTCAAAATAAGTTGATAATCCATGCATGTCTCCATATTAAATCACGTGGAGGAGCAAGACTTCTAAAACTTCTACATTAACAACTTGGATTGAAACATCATCATAGTGAGTTCCTTATGCCCTCCTGGGTCTGTTTCTATCACACTGGTTTAGGATTCAGTGAATACTATATGCTTTCTCTATATTCTTTTCCATATCCAACCTTGTTTCAACTGGAAGAATCCAGCTTGCCTTTAAAATATATGTTCACTTGTGTTCTTTTCATGCAAGTAAGAAAGCAGTGGAAATGGGCATTGAGAGAAGACACAGATGGAGGAGCACTGGATAAGGAGCTGGGAACTTTTGCTTTGTGAATGTAAAGTCTTTACTTACTTGAATCCTAGGAAAAGCCACTGAAGCCAGATCCAGGATAAGACAAGAAGAATAACAGCAGCCGGGAAAGAAAATATAAACCATGATCCAAAGTTGAGGCACTGACATTCAGGGTAGCGTCTGTGTGGGATGGAGAGAAGAAATCAGGGAGGAGGGAAGTGAGATTCTTCCTGATGGAAGTCCATCTCTCCTGTGATATTACCCACGAAGGAAATCCAGAAAGAGGCTCACCACTACCCACAGCAGCCAGTTCCCTCTCTCTCCTGTCTCCATTGTGTAACTTTGCTCCATCCCCCCAAAACCAGAATGGGCATGTTGTGATTCTTTTTTTTCTTTTCAGTCTCTAAGGAAGTACTTGCGGAAAAAAAAAAAAAAACTGATGGTTCGGGGATGGAACATGGTAGTCATTAAATGCCAAGAAATGGATGTGCATGGACAGCTTGTTACTAGTAATAGTAACTAGGATATATGTGAGGAAAGACAAATAAGCAGGCTTCAAAAACAGGTGAGAATTAAAGCACAATTTTACATTAGAAGCTGGCATCCTTGACATTTACAAAGGAAGTCGGCTCCAGTCCAGATCGTCTCCCATTGTTGTGCTTTGCTGTTTCTTCTGCCCCAAAGCACACAACCACTTTAGCAACTATGTGATAGCCCTTTCCTAGCTTTGGATGGTGCTTTGGGATTCATTCACATGCCCAGAGTTATGACTCTGGGCCAGATTAAAAAGTGTGAAAAGTTCTGTGGAAAACATCAACGTTTTCTTTATCTCTTCTAGCTATCTTCAACTTTTTAAACTTATACCATAAAACAATAGCAATGAAAATACAGTCAAATACAAACACTCATGTCTTTGAAAATATTACACTATGAATTTCAAGTATAGTTTAAAAACCAAATAAGTTTTCATGTAGGCATTTATTTTTAACCATAGTGTTACATTAGGAAATTTGAGAAGCAGTTGGTAATGCGTGTTGGAAATCTGAAAAATACCGATATAATAAAAATATCATTAACATATTTTTGTATTTTTGAAACAAGAATATAAGAATCTTTAAATGCATACAGATTTTGAATTCTTATTCTATTTAGATCATACCTTGTATTTTGCTACTTAAAAATGATCATGGGGGCCAGGTGCTGGTGGCTCACACCTGTAATCCTAGGTACTCAGGAGGCTGAGATCTTAGTATCACAGTGCAAAGCCAGCCCAGGCAGGAAAGTCCATGAGACTCTTATCTCCAATTAACCACCAGAAAGCTGGAAGTGGAGCTGTGGTTCAAGTAGTAGAGTGATCACATTGAGCTGAAGAGCTGAGGGACAATGCCCAGGCCCAGAGTTCAAGCCCTACGACCCACCCCCCTCCAGAAAAAAAAAAAGATCATGTGGCTGAGCATGGTATACCCTTGTAATCCTAGAATTGAGGCTGAGGAAAGAGGAGCATGAGCTTCAGACTAACCCAGGGTACCTATCACTTGTTTGAGAAACAATGATATAAAATGATATAAAAAATTCAGTATTTCAAATTACAAACATACATGTAAACAATTTTATTATTTTAGGATAGTTTCTAAGTTTCCAAGGCTTAAAAAAATCCACAGTAAGTTTTGAAAAGTTCTAGATTTTGTTATGTTTTCTATAGTTTTCTTTTAGCTTATAGCTATTACTAATCTTCCTGAGCCCTAGAGTTATCATGTTCAGCTTGAGGATAATTTTTAATCACCTCCAAGAAATCCAAGGATTATTTTACTTATTTATATATTTAGGAAGTAACAATGTTAGGAAACACATAGAATTAGGAGAATGGAAAAAATTGTATCCACAATGCTCTATTAAAACTAGCTGATATTTGAAATTTTTCTATAGTCTTTAGCTGGAAAATAAAATACAAAGAAAAAGCTTAAGCCGATTTTCTATCCATTTATTAGGTGTGGATTATTGAATGACCTGTGTGAGTTGGTCAAGGCTACAGACACTTGGAAATACTTCATGGATTAGGTTCAGAACAACGCCTCCAGCCGAATTTTGTTTTTCACCATCTGTAGCTCATACCTTTGGAGTCAGGCTGCATTGCTTTCCCCCACCACTGGAGAAAACTCTCATAAAATATGTTTGAAGAAGAGCTTTCCAGAAATTTTGCCTGCAGGGATACTTCATTTAGAAAATTTGAAAACCTCAAATTTAAACTTTGTTTTTGTGGTTATCTTTCTCATGGGAAGGTTAAGAAGTATAAAAGTGAACACGTAGAACTGTGGTCCGGTGATTTTGACCTTAACACACCCGTAGAATGAACATTCTGAATAAAGTGCTTGAGGGATTATTTTTGTTCTTTCCTTTCTTTCCTTGAGTTTTCCCCTCAAATTGTCCAAATGAAGAGATAGGAAAGTTGCTTAAAGAAACTATTGATATTTTCTATCATAAGTTAGCTAAGAAATTCAATTCTGATAAAGTTCCTTTCTTCCGCCTAATCCTATGTTTTATGGTATCTGCCTGAAAAATTATAACCTGGAGGAATATTAATGCCAGGTACTCTTCTAGCTATTGGCTATACAGTGGTAATGAGACAGACCTGGTCCAGACACTTACAATGTTTACACTGAAGTAAGGCACACATAAGAAACAATTAACCTTAACACTGGAATAGAGAATAAAATAGAATAGCACAATAAAAATCATCAGGGGAAGGGAGACATTCTATATACAACAGTAAGAGGAGGCGATACTTAAGGTGAGTCTACATAGCTACAAGGAGGAAAGATACAAAAGAGGAGTATTGGCAAAGATGTGGAGAACAGGGAATTCTTGTCCACTGGTTTCTTGAATGTAAATTTCTATAGCCATTCATGTTACGCCACAATTTCACTGGGCTTGTCTTCAAAGGAAATGAAATCAGACCTCTGCCCTCCCATGTTTATTGCATATTCATTCACAAGAGGCAAGAAACAGAATCAATCTAAGTGTCCATCAGCTATTGAATAGATTTTTTAAAAAATGTGATACACACACAAATAAAATTCAGTCAGAAAAAGGATGAAAGCATTTCATTTGAAACAGAGTCATTTATGGATGGACCCAAATGGTATCAAGTGGAGTGAAATAAATGAGGCACAGAAAGCGAAACACTATCTGATTTCACTCATGCAGGAAACCTAAAGCACTAGAGTTCACAGAATAAAGAGTACAACAGTGGCTTTTAAAGGCTAGAAGAGCAGGAAGAAGAGAGAGCAGTGGGGAAGAGTTGGCCAGGGAGGACTAAACCACATGTAGATAGGAAAATAATTTCATGTGCCATTGTATGAATATAGTTAAGTGAATATGGAGGATGTATTTTATATTTCAAAAAAACTAGAAAACAAAAATTTTAATGCTTTATTGCAAAGAACTAATGAATTTCTGAGGAGATGCAGACACTTCTATTTGGACAGTATACAATGCCCATCTGAGATACCACCTGGGTCCCATATAATATGTCCAAACTTTAAGGTGTCACACACTTCAGGTGAGGTGTAAAGATAAAGAGAAGGCAATAGATTTTAGATGGGAGAAATGGGGTAAAGATGCCATTGACTGAAATAGTTATGTCTGAGAGTAGCACAGCTAGCAGGGAACAAGAAGGCTAAGAAGGAGTGTAGGGCACAAATTGAGAAGGCTCTTGGGAGCCTACTGACTTGAGATGTCCCTTATTTTTCCAAATGATCACATTGGACAGACAGACAGCTGAGTGTAGAATTAAGAAGAAAGAGCAGAGACAGAGATGGAAAGTCAGTAGTTATCAATGCAAAGACAGTATTTTCACATCAACAGTATTAGGTAAGAAAAATCAGGGAGAAAATGCAGTTGAGATGTAAAGAGGGTCAGATAGAGATGTCAATGGCACTTGTAAGTTCTAGAGCTCAGGCACAAGCACAGAAATGAGCAGATGAACTAAGCATTCTTAATTCCAATCAAAATCCTGCAAGCAACGCATTGTACTTCCATTTTACCCAGGAAGAAGCTGTGTCTCAGGGAGCTAAGTGGATTGTTCAAGGCTATAGATGGTACAGTCTAGCTGGATTTTGTAACCCAGGAGGAGTTTTAGTTTAAAACACAATTGCTTTTCATTAAGCATCTGTGACCCTGACTGGCTCCCAGAGGAAAATAGAGAATTCCATGTACATTGTGAAATAGTCATAAACTTGTAGGTTTAATGTACATTGAAAAATAGCTACAGAAATAAATGCAGCATAACAAAAACGTTACCTTGACCTAGGCATGTGTTCCTAAGAATTGACATTTAGGAAGAAAACATCATCATTGGAAATCTTATGACAAGTTAACCTTCCTGTAAAGTAGATAACTTTAATTCCAATGACATACAGAATACACAGAAATGGCTTCAAAAGAATGGATGTAGGCATGCAAATGTACTTACTCTAATAGATTTGGACCATTAGCAGTTATCATAAGCTGGTGTCCACATTGATTACAATCATTTTGGTTAGTGACTTTTAAAAAGTATTTCTGAGCACAGAGAGACTCAGGGACAAAGCTCAGGCCCTGAGTTCAAGCCCTAGGACCAGCAAAAAAAAAATATTTCTGAGACAAAGCCACTTTGTTTTTTTTTTTTTAATTTGAGTACTTCCAGGAGTTTCTTTTCAAAAATATTAATTAGTCATGAATCATGAGCTAGGCCTAAACTTCCAACCACAATGGCCAAAGAAACAATGACAGCAGCTAGCACAGTGGACATATTACTATTGCCAGGCCCTCTACCATAGCCAATTGCTTGCAATAACTTTCAGTCATTACGGTATTAAGTTCTAGTATCATCCCAGCTTTATAGATGAGGAATTAATGTTCACAGAAGTGAAGCATTTAGCTTTATTATTGCAGGCTTGGAATCTGAACTCTGGTTCTCATTCAAACTTAAACGTGGGGATGTATTCAAATGATTTCTGCCATAGTTGTCAGAATTTTTTCTGCAAAATGTTTATTGTTTATTTCTAGAGAGAAAATGATTTTTCTTCGAAAGATGACAATTGCTTTACTTTGACTCTCTCTCTTTCTCTCTTCTTGGTTGGTCGTGAGGCTTGAACTCTGGGCTTGGGTGCTGTCCCTCAGCTCTTCACCTCAAGGTAGTG